ATCAGCTATTTACGTTACCTTTCATAACTGTAGTAAAATTAGTTATGAAGTATCAATGAAAATAATTGTACAGTGGAGAGTCAGCACAACATGAGGAACTGTATTAAAGGGCAGTGGCATCAGGAAGGTCAAGAACCACTGCTTTTACTGATGGATGCTGAAGAACCTGGTTTCCTTGGTAACTGGAGTAAGGTTGATCCTATACAGAGAAAGGCATTGCATGGACCGCTGCAGGCTCCAGTCTTCTGGAAAAAAGCTGGTTCCCCTTAGGCCAACCCTCTGAGACACATCTGCACTTTCAGGTTAAGTTCACATGTAAAGGGTACCACAGCATCTTTGGTAACTGTTACAGTGCCTTGAGAATAAAGGGCTTCCTTCTTCCTGGGCCCAACCCTTCCATACACCACAGGCAGAGATGACCCCCATGGTACTTGAATCCTAGATGCCCTTTCTCAGATTACTGTCCCGTGAACTTCTAGGTGGCAGCACATCAAAAGGACTTACATGTGACCAGTAATAACCAGTGGTGATTTGTGACCTCTGGCTTATAAAAACACCAAGGGCCCTAGACAGGATGGCCAGTCACACATGTTGTGGATCCCAGAAACTGCGTTTTAAAACAATTCTCCAGGTAATGTGGCCAAATAAAGCCACGGTGTTTTCGGGAGCAGCCATTTCAGTCATGTTACACTGCTGCGGTTTTAAGTTATGCTAAAGCACAGATAAATGTGCCTACCACATGATCCCCACCGTAAACAGTGACAGCAGACAGGAATGTGCTGAGAGGTTTTGTTCCTTAAAGTATCTGAAAAGATGGTGACTCAGAGGGATGAACTCTTAACACAAGAGCCAGTGTGCAGCGGGCATAGTCATCCATGCAGTGGGGCCTGAGAACTCTAAAATCCAAGCCAGACAGAGACACGAAGAGATGATGCTCCCCAGGAAGTATGTTTCAGCTTTCCCACCTAGTCACTTCAACAAGAATAATTTTAGCTTTGATAGATATTAAAAAAAAAATTAATCAAGCTAAGGAAAATTACTGTGGTGGTTTGAATGAGAATGGCCCCTATTGGCTCTTATATTTGAATGCTTTGTCATCAAGGAATGGAACTATTTCGAAGGATTAGGAGGATTAGGAGGTGTGGTCTTGAAGTGGGTGTAGCTCTGTTGGAGGAAGTGTGTCACTAGGAGTGAGCTTTAAGGTTTTAAAATCCCATGCCAGATCCTGTGTGTCTGCCTATCTTTTGTCTGTCTCCCTTCCTCTCTCTTTGTTTGTGGATCAGGATGCAGCCCTAAGCTACTTCTCCAGCACCATGCCTGTCTACTTCCATGCTCCCTGCCGTGATAATAATAGACTAAGCCTCTGAAACTGTAAGCCAGCCCCTAGGTAAATGCTTTCTCTTATGAGTTGCCCTGGTCATGGTGTGCCTTTACAGAAACAGAACAATGAACTAAGACGGTTAGTTTTTCCAGAAAACATTTTATTTTTAAATTGCCATCAAATACCATAAGGAAAAATCATTTCACACATGAATGCGATCTTACCAGGCACTGAGTAAAGCTCCACGCTCACTTACTTCCTCAGCGTCCTGAGCTTCAGCGGGGATGCCCGTGCCAGATCATTTCTATTGTCTCGTTTTTAATGTGTGCCTTCCCTTAACACTTAAATAACATGGTCTGAGTTTTATATAATCCCTTCAAGTGGTGTACTTTTCCTTAATTTAAAGGGATGAAAGAAGGAAAGAAAGAAAGAGAGAGAGAAAGAGAGAGAGAGAGAGAGAGAGAGAGAGGGAGGGAGGGAGGGAGGGAGGGAGGGAGGAAGGAAGAAAGAAAGAAAGAAAGAAAGAAAGAAAGAAAGAAAGAAAGAAAGAAAGAAGAGAAAGAAGAAAGAAACAGGGCCTCCCAGACTCTACTCCAGTTTCACCTTGAATACATTCATTTCTAGAGAAGAGAGAAGAAAATCAACATAGGACTATTTTTTCAGAATTAACATCTTTCTCACCAAAAATGCACATTCTTATTTTAGAGTTCCCACCAACTGAATTATGATCACATGTCCAACAAAAACAGAATTCGCTCCAGTGACAGAAACAGGTTCACCGTCCAGCACACCAGTTCTGTCTCATCAAGCCTTAGCTGGAATAGACAAGGAGGCAGAGGCAAACTGCCTCTACTTACTGGCCCAGAATGTTTGTGGATATCTGTTTTTCCTTACCTCAGGATAATGTTGTAACTTTTAGGATAACGTTGTAACGTTGTTCTTTAGACAAGAACAAAAGTCTGGTGGGGGTAGGGTGGGGGGTGGTGAGGGTTGTTCTGATGGCTGCAGTTTGACTCCAGCAGCCTCAGTTCATGGTTCTCAGTACTCTGAGGCAAGCCCAACATGAGATGCCCCTAAACCTCCCCACAAGCACATAAGCAGCTGGCGGGAGTCAGCCAAGGCCACATTCCAGCGACCTACCTCCCTAATGTGACTCTACATTAAATAGGAGATAATTTTAACTTAATTTTGTTTTGTTTGGATGCCTGAGATTGAGCCCAAGGTCTTGTGTGTGCTCAACAGGCACTCAACCATTGAACCATATGCCCCAACCAAGAGTTAATTTAAAATCCTGACCTCTAATGGACTCCACAAAATAAACCAGCCTGCTCTTAGAGCATGAAGCAGCTACGCGGGCAGCAGTTTACCGGTCGTTATATGTAGAATCTTTATCTTCCTATGTGTTAATACATAGAACATAATTAAGCCTTCAATCTTTAGGATTTTCAGTTTAGATCTATAGAAGAGTTCAGCATTAAATATTCCAAGAGCTATTCCAGGTAAAAGAGGATTCTGAACCCTTGAGATCTATCTAACCCTAAAGGTTACATATGTGAAACCGGGAGCCTATGCCATGTCAGAGTCTCTAGGAGTGAATGACTTAATGCACACAATGTGATTACGCATAGAAAGCATATTCTATCCAGACATAATGACGGGACTTAAGAATGAGTCCACAAAACACATAGCTCATATTTGGATACTTTTAGCAAAATGTTGGTATATGTAATCATCTAGCTTATGAACTATTAGAAGAGCAGCCCAGTATAGCAGGCCTGGCATACATGGGCTCCTGCAAATGACCTGTCTGGTGCCAGTCGTATGCCCCCCTTGACAGCTGTCTTTGTTTGTGCTTCTCTCTGGTGTGACTTGATTATCAACATGGAACACTTAACCACAGCTATGTGTGTTCAAGAACATTCGGGCAAACCAATGCCCTACACCCTTGTCCATCCCCAGGTCACCACACCTATGGAGACTGTTAGGTCACAGGTGGTCACAGGGGCAAATGCTGCTTCCATAGCAGTCACTTTGAGACGGAAAACTGTGGGTGAGAATGGCAGCCACAGGCTTTTGTGTTTGAATACTTGGTTCCAAGTTGGTGGAACTGTTTGGGAAGGATTAGGAGGTGTGGCCTTATTGGAGGAGGCGTGTCGCTGCAGGCAGCTTTGAGTGTAGTGTGCTTGCTCCCCCTCCCCTGCCCCCCTCCTTCACAGTTGTTTCTCAAGATGTAAGTTCTCAGCCACTACTCCAGTATCAAGCCTTCCTGCCATGATGGTCATAAACTGGAACCCTAAGCTCCAAATTAAATGCTTTCTTTTATAAGCAGCTTTGGTTGTAGTGTCTTATCATAACAATAGAAAAGTAACTAAGTCAGAAAACCCCTTGGGCTTAGGCTCAAAAGTCCCATAGGATAAGCCTGAATGCACCTCATCACTGCCCTATCCTGTGGAAAAGGTCCCACACAAACTCAATGCCTGATACATGAAGGATGAACCAAAAGCCTGCAAGACGGCAGGTAAAACACCCAACCTCCTTCATCAACCTGTGCTGCATTTCCTCACAAACATATCAAGTCTCAACTTCTAGTTCTTGTCGCCACAACAGGTTCCCTATCAAAAATGACTCTCAACTAGAGAGTACGTGGCACGCTCTCTCCTTCTCTCTGAATGTGACCATCAGAGTTTGGCACAGGGTACTGCTGGGAAGTGGAGAGGAGACAGAGACTGGGACATCACTCAGATAATTCAGATATGTTCCTGAAATTAAAATCTTTTGTTTGTTTGTTTGATTGATTGATTGATTGATTGATTGAAACAGTGTCTCACTATGTAGCCCTAGCTAGCCAGTGGTCTAGGATTTATAGAGATCTGCCTGCCTTTGCCTCATGAGCGGTGGAGTTAAAGGTGAGCACCACCACACCTGCCTAAAAACATCTTACACTGTTCTTGCCTTGCATTGGATGATAGTTTAACTGGAAAAAGTCTTTCCACCCAGAAGAGTTCCCTATGTTCCTTACAAAAATATAGGGAGAAAGAGTGACCAACAGTTAGCTATAAAATCACATGGGCCTCAATAGAATCCAACTCAGTAAATGATAAGGAGATTGTCTATCAAATTCTCAAGGTGACACATAGCACACAAATAATATTAACCTAAGAGCCACAGCTATTTCTCAGGCAGTACAGACTTAATTCTTGGGCACAAATAAAACTATTCCCAACTTCTCTCCATATTCAAATTTCATCCTTGCCAAAGCCTCTGCTATCCAAATAAATAAATAAATAGAAAAATCTGAGTACAGAACTGGAATCTTGAGAGAATAAATCTTGAGAAATAATTTGTGCCAGAATGCAGCTTTCCTGAGTCCACGTGTGTGTGTGTGTGTGTGTGTGTGTGTGTGTGTGAGTGTGTATGTGTGTGAGCGTGCATGTGTGTGGATTTTTTTTTTGAAACCAATAAAAAAGCTTGCACTAACGTCATGAAACACACTAGTCGGGTATTGACCTTCCCACCTCTACCAACATTACCCACAAGTCACACACCCTTCGCTTTGACAACAGAGGCACAGTGTAAGTGCCTCAGTGTGTGTGCAGTTGACATTCGTTATCGGTGTGTGGCACCCATAGCTCCGCCCCGTGCACCGGTGTATGCAAAGCCGCTCTATCGAGCAACTCACCTTCATGAGATGCTGATTTATCCATTTTGTAAATGTTTTCTTTTGAACTTTGTCCCGCTCATCTGGAAAATAAACAAATAAAATAAGGTTGGTATGAGCCATGCACAGGAAGCTCCACATCTTGTAGTTAAACCAAACTGGATATGTTCAGAGGATAGCCTCCTGTATATCCAGTTTTACTAAAACTCATCGACTCTGTGCCATCTCTAAGGAAGCACTACGTGCTTGTCCCCAGTGTTGTGCTTGCTGCCCAGGTGCTAAGTCACCTACCATAGTACCACTTCCAAACAAGTGGTCTCACATCAAATTAAATGGAGAGAAATGCAGAGCAACTCCACTAACGTCAGAAACAGGACAGGTTGTCCACTCTCTCCGTATCTATTCAATAGAGTACTTGGAGTTTTAGCTGAAGCAGTAAGACAACTAGAGACAGCAAGGAGGTACACAGTGGAAAGAGAGAAGTCAAATTACGGTTATTTGCATAGATGATATGCTATTAAGTCATATTATTATGTGAATCCTACTAACCCATGAGCATCTGTCTTCTGATATCTTCTTTGGACTCTTTCTTTTCAAAGACTTGAAGTTTTAGCATACAAGTCTTTCACTTGTGTGGTTAGAAATACTCTGAGATATTCTATATTCTGTGGCTATTGTGAAAAGGGTACTTTCCCCAATGTCTTCATCAGTCCATGTGTCATTTGTATATAAGAGGGTTACTGATTTTTTTTAAGTTAATCTTGTATCCAGCTACTTTGCTGAAAGTATTTATCAGCTATCGGAGTTCTCCAGTAAAATTTTTAGGAAGACTTATAGACACTATTGTATTATCTGCAAATAACTATCCTAACAAAAGCAACTGACAGATTCAACCCAATCCTCATCAAAATTCCAACACAGTTCTTTTATAGAGATTGAAAGGACAATTTTTAACTTCATATGGAAAAACAAAAACCCCAGATAGCTAAAATAATCCTGAACAATAAACAAACAAACAGATAATAAAAAACAAAAAACTGCCAGAGGTCTCACCAGTCCTGATTTCAAGTTGTACTACAGAGCTACAGTAATAAAAGCAATGCATGGTACTGGTATAAAAGCAGACACATTGATCCATGGAATCAAACTGAAGAGCCAGATATAAATCCACACACATGGGCACCTGATTTCCGATAAAGAAGCCAGAAATACACATTGGGAAAAATACAACATCTTCAACAAATGGTGCAGGTCAAACAGGATATCCGTGTGTAGAAGAATGCAAACAGATCCATACTTAATACCCCACACAAACTCCAGTCCAAGTGGATCAAAGACCTCAATATAAAAGCAGACACGCTGAACCTGACAGAGAGTAGGGAATAACCTTGAATGTAGTGGCACAGGTGACAGCTTTCTGCACAGAACACTGATCGATAGTGCAGGCACTAAGATCAACAATTAATCAATGGGACCTCATGAAACCAAAACCTTCTGTGAGGTGCAGTGGAGCCGCTGAAGAAGGGGATGATGCTAAACTCCTGGGGACTCTGATTCAAAAGGCAAGCACAAGACTGAAACTCACTTGGTGACATGCCACACATGCATTAGAAGATGCTGACATCTTCTAATGATAACAACCCAAGCCTTCTCTTTATCACGATCAGCCTAAAGGAGTGCAACACAGTGCCAAGGAGACCCTCAACTAGGAGTCCCTGCAGCAGGACCACTACAACAGTTCCAAGATCCTCAGTAACAACCCTGCAGTTAGGGAGAACTAAAGTCTGGGAAGACTGGAGACTTCACCACCTTCTGTACACGTTATTTCAAAAGGGAGTGTACCAGATTACACCACCTAATTTTCCAATTATAAGTCTCATGGTGACTTTCCCTCATTTTAGTCAGGGATCCTTAACACTCCCTGATTTATATTTAGGGCACGGTTGCTATGACAACAAGGAGACTGTCATCATTCCTGTGTATTAGCCAGTTGTTGGTTGTGTGCACTGCCCGGTTACTATTCTGAATCAAGCTTTATAGCATTCCTCTAGTCAATATTATCTTATTTACAATCAATTTTAAACGAAAGCACATATTTACGTTCACTTTATGGAGTACAAAGTAGCTGAAAATATACAAAAGCACCGAGTGCAAACAATAGAATTTAAGGGGAAAAAGAATAGCATAAAGAACAGTTATTCACACACACTGTTTTCAGTTTCTGGTAAAGCTCAATGGAAGTTAAATGTGATCAGTGCTGCACACAGCAAATCTCAGTGCTACACACAGACTTATCCTATGGAAAGTATTCTCAGGCGAGCCAAAAGGTAGTTCAGACTCTTAACCACATTCCTCAAGGCACCCCACAGTCTGTCAGCTCTCGCCACGCAAGCCAAAGCAGGTAGCACAACTTTCCTATCCAGGTTCCAGAATCTGCACAGGAGCCCGGGGTGAGGTACTAACCCATACAGCACATGCGTCCCACCAGCTGTGCGCTCCAGTCCTGACCGCTTCTCACAAGCTGCCCCATCATTCTGCGGGAATCGGTACAGAAGGGTCCTGGACTCTGCCTTAGGAAGTGTGATGTGTCAGCGTGCTGCTAACTTTCTCCACAGAAAGGAAAGCACTGACTAGACACTCCTACTTCAGTGGAAACTAGTCCACACCCCCTTTTAAACAAACATTTGCAAGCCAGGGTACTGTGTAACTGCTCCTGAAAACGAGATAAACTACCATTTCTCTCAGGAAGGGGGCTATCAGAAGTCTCTTTAAAGAGAATCCTCCTTCTTCTTCTTTCCCCCTCCCTCCCTTCCTCCTTCCCTTTCTCTTTTTAATTTTTGAGAGAGGACAATAGGCAACATAGAGAATATCAGATTTTATAGTAGAAGTAACTGAATATTGTCTTCTAACACTGCAGGCAGGGTACCCTTAGAGTAAAAAGCAACACGGGCTGACTTAGTTCAAGGCATGCTACATACATGTGAAGTGAAAAGCTCACCGTTATACACTAGACAGACTCTTCAGGGAGAAATATGACCATCAGAACACCATCAAATGTTTCTGTATGTATTACTCCATAGGTATGTTCACATGAATTTCTAAGCAAGTCTCTGAGTTGGGTGATATGTAAACTTCAGAGTTATACGAATCAGAGCCTATATACACTCAGTGTGCACTTATGATTACAGACAGAGGCCAACCTGCATGATATAACAGAGGGGAGAGGAAGGCAGAGGAGGGAAGGGGACAGAGGGAAGAAAGGAAGGAAGGAAACAGTAGAAAGGAGGGAAAAGTAGTAGGGAGAGGGAAAGACAGAGGATAGGAGAAAGGGAGGAAGGGAGGAAAGGAGGGAGAGAGGAAGGGAGGGAGGGAAGGAAAGAGAAAAGGAGGGAGGAAGGGAAGGAGGGAAGGAGAAAAAGGCAAAACTGCCACAGTCCACAGCCTGAAGATCTTAAATTCAATTCTAAAGTCTTTTTTCTTTGTCAAACAGAAGCCCTAATTCTTCTAAGTCAGAGAAAAAAATCACAAAACTCTCAATTCACCAGAGCTTCACTTCTAATGTCAAGAAATGAGAACCCTTGTTCAAGACCATCATCAGCGCCCCCATACTTACTGAAACATTAGACTTTCCCAAACAAAAGGTATACAAACAGTAACCTAAATAACACACACACACACACACATACACACACACACACACACATACACACACACACACACACACATACACACACACACACACACACACGTATGTATGTATGTATTTCAACAATAGAGAGCAGCAAATAAGGTCAGGAAAAGACACCTCAACATTGCTAGACTACAGCTGCCAAAACAAACAAACAAAATCAAACTTTATGCTGCTGTGAATTTATGAGGATGACAACAGCAAATGCAGATGAATGAATACTCCTTACCTAGAATGATGCAGGTAAGTAAACGACAGCATCTAGCAGGATAGTTGGGCAGTGTATATCACATACTTAAACGGGTATACTTTCTGAATCAATAATTCTACTTGCAAGAACTAGTAACAAAAGACTGTCATCGGTGTGGTTAGTTCGCAAGGATGTTTCCGGTGGCCAAATATCTGACACAGTTTAAATGTTAATCAGCAGGGGAACAGATAGATGAGTTTAGTTGGCTCAATGGTATGAAAATCTAATTTTGAAACTTTGCACATACTGACATGAAAAAGTGACCGAATGAAAAATAATGTTTGTTGATAAATATATGTGGATCTATAAAATGCAGGTAAAGAATTTCATCAGAAGAAAGTGGACGGAGCAAGAGGAAGACGCTGCTGTGCCGTCACTCACGTTTCGTTCTGAATATCTCTAGACTCAGTGAGCCTTCTACAAGAAAGATATTTATGCATCATCACTGCTAATACCCAGGAGGAATGCATGTCACGCCGCTTTATTCATTTATGCATTGAACGGTCATATACATAGGGACATGTGCTGAACACAGAAGACATAGGGGAAGGACCAAGACCAGCTAGCTACAGTGCCCACGCAGGTGTAAGGCAGAGCTGCACGCCAGGTATGCTGAGCTTCTGTTTATGATGGCTGAAAAGAGAGAAAGGGAGGGAGGAGAGGAAGGACCACACATGGCAGTAAGCAGCAGGAGTGGAACTGGTAACAAGGTTGCCAGAGAAAGGCTGCCAGGGACAGGGATACCCAGCTGTAGAGGCGCCTGTGAAAAGAGAAACTCAGAACATTCTCAGCTTGAGGTACCCCTGCTTGGGGGGTGCTCCTTGTTTGAAGTTACCACACACCAAATTACAGCATGGGTTTCGAAGGCTTTTGTGAGGAATTCAGAAACAGGGCTCCAGAGAATGTGCTGGGTAAGCTGATGCTGGAGGGAGGCTTAAATCTCTCTGCAAAAGCTTTTGTGTTTGCTTTCTCCCTAATTGATGATCAGAACGCATGCTTGCCTGTCAGCAACAGCTCTGGCTCCTCAGTACTGGAGGCTGGAAGAGACGTTTAGGTTCTGCTCTGAAGAGAAATTTGCTGGCTAATACTTGTGTTTACCATTGACTAAGAATTTAATACGAAACTTCTGGAATCTGCTCTGTCAT